AGCCAATACAATGCTTACTCACAGGGAACCATTGGGAAGCTAGGGTGCATGTGTAGGAAAACACTACACTGTGCCATTCAAATGCTCCCTAGTTACTTGATCTATAACCAAGTTCAACTCTGTTAAAGAAGTGGATGCACCTCTAGTGACAGCCACAAGGGGCAACTGAAAACATTGATGTTTCCACAAAATGGCAATGCTTATAGTTGAAGGGTTAAAAAAAAGAAGACAAACTAAGAGGAAGTGGTCTGTGTACCTATAGAATCCCTTTAAAATGAATTAGCATCTCTATAGACATAGCACCACTCCCTCCAACCCATTAAAGGGATTCTCTAGTGCCAGGAAACCAAACCCTGGAGTGCCTCTCTGTCTCCTGCCCCCCATCTCATGTCACTGAAGGGGTTAAAACCCCTACAGACACTTACTTGAATCCAGCGCAATGTCCCTCGGTGCTGGGTCAGGCTCCGCCCATGCTCCTTCCCCACCGACGTCCAGCATTATTTAATGCTGGTAGACAGCCACTGGAGGAGGACTTAACCCTGCAAGGTAATTATTGCAGTTAATAAAACTGCAATAATTACACTTGCAAGTTTAAGGGTGATGGGAGTTGGCACCCGGACCACTTCAATGAGCTGAATTGGTCTGGGTGCCTACAGTATCCCTTTAAGAGATTTGAGTATGGAGGCACCAATTATACACTCAGAACAGCACTGTGCCTCTGGGCATAGTATTCCTCCAGAAAAGAAAAATAATTGTGGATTAAAAAGAACTTAACATTGAACTGCAGGCTAGCATCTTGGGGGATAGAGGAATACAACAATGATGCCTCATCTAATGTCATCCACATGTATCCCTATAACTAGATTTAATGTTGCATCATTTGCAGCACCTGTTTGATATCCTTTATTGGAATGTAATGATCACCCACTAGCAGATGAAGGTAGACACCTACCCACTCTAATAAGCCTTCTCCCAAAGATCATGTGCCTGAAACTATGGGGCATCCCAGGGAATTGGTGAGGGACTTATGGATCTTTGGGAGGTGTAAAAATTGGAATCCTAGGGTGGGATTTAGACATTTATTATGCTATATCTTCTTTAGTTAAATCAATTAAGGGCTGATGAAATTTCAATGCAGAATCCCATAACAACTGTACATAGATGTCACAATCTAGTAACTGTTTGTAAGTGGTCAGTGAGATAAAGTGATCTGGGTGCCTTTTGTGCCCCTTTAAGGACACATGCTTATCTTATCTGACTGCTTAATTATTATATTCTTCTTTGTCATTAAAGAAACACTCTGGACCCCTAAAGCCCTTTAGATTGCTGAAAGTCTTTATATGTGAAGAGTGTGTCCTCTTTCTCAGTTTCAAAAAGTGCAGATGTCAATAGAATTTTTTTTTTTTTATGAATTAACCTTGTTACACCCTACTGTCTGTCAATCAGACAACCTGTCTTGTTTTTTCTTGATTGTTTCAGTGGAGCTAAAGAGGCAGACAATTGCCCAGAATATCTGCCTGGCAAAGACATCTCATTGAGCTGTATTTGGGAAGTCTGTGATTGGACAGCTACAGTAAGTCTGTGCAGGGTTAGAAGGGGAGGGCTTACAAAGGCTACAGGCTAGGCCCTAAGGAGCCATCTTAAACTCGCACCAACCCTGCTTCTTCCTCCTCCATCACTTTCTATTGGTAGTTTTTTCACATCTTCAAAGTAACAGCTGGCTGAGAAGTAGAATTTCTTTTATCTGAGCTTGTAATTGTTATTCCATGGGTTTTATTGTAGTATGCATCATCCTTTGTTGTATAAATGGAAGATGGGAATTCAGATAATGAAGGTATTGAAGATGGAGCTGTATGTGTCAATAATTCAGAACTAGAGAAGGAAACATTGTGCGATATCTGTTTTCCTGCTGTAGAGTGTATTTTATATTTGTTTTAGTACTTCCATGTTAAACTGCTATGCTAGTTGTAAACCACATTTTCATCACAGTTCTGGTTGTCTATGAGAAATGTATTTCTTTTTCATTCAGCAACGGATTCTTCCAGTTTATTGTATTCAGCTTGTAAGTTATTGTCTAATTCCAAACAAAGTATCTTTGAACCCCTCCATATGAGTTCTCAACCTTTCGATCACCGTCTTATAGTCAGAAAATCTTGTTTGATTCTAACAGCATTCTGCACATTTAAATCACCTAACAAGTACTGAGATGTGTCATCATGTTTTGTGTAAGTAGGAGTTTTATTTAAAACCTATTGCATTTAATGTACTTCTGTAGACTATACAACTTCAACAACACATTGATTTTTTTAGAGGGCTTGAACATGAACAACTAAGAGATTTGATATAGTCATGGTGCAATGACCCTCTTTGTGCAGTATTTCTTTTTAATCTCTCTAATTGGAAATGACACCCAAGGTACTCATGGCATCATATTCACTACAGTGTACTAAAATGGTCATGATGCTTGTAGTAACCATTTAACTGTCATTTTTGTTATTGTTATAAATATATTATTTAGTACTAAATTCACTTTAGATCCCTCTTTAAATTCTTGATTATTTCCAGCTACCCTCATATAAGTAAATTAAACCAATGCCATGGAATTATACTTAGAATAACACATACACACACACCATATTTTACATATCTAGGCTATTTATGTTTTTTGTTGGGACATTCTAGAATACGTAGAATACTGCAAGGGGCACAAGTGTAGTTAACATTATGAATCTACTAACATATTTGTAATAACTTTGTTTCCCATACCTACATGGAATAATTCCCATATTAACTGAAATGTAGGTTTCCTATGTCACCTGCATAGAGAATTGTAAAGACTTTGCTTACACATCCAAATGTTAACAATATATATTAATGCACAATTCCACAGTGGTCTACACAAATCTGCAAATTATTTTTTTGCATATTTCTTTTTTTTATTACATTTTCCACATCACCAGTAACAAACTATTCAACAAGAATTTCAATGCCCTATATTTGATCTTTCACATATTTTTTAAAGTAGAATCAAGGAGAATTCTAAGTCAAATATATGATGTTTTAAAATTATGTGAATATGTGCATGCACCGTACATTATGAAAAGGTGCATTTCTGATCTCAATTCAAAGCCACTTTGAAAGAGGAACCTACGGAAGGTGCAATCACCATCAGGCAAAGTCACACTCATAGTTATCATACTTGTCACTTGCTGCATCAAAGAATGTCACATCTATCAGATTGAGGAAGACATTCTTGTAAATATAGCTTCATTAACTCCTGTCCTGATCTTTAACACCTTCATAATGGGGATTAGATAAAGTAATTTATATTATAGAAGTTCTAAAATGTCTACTGCCACAAAAAAAAGTTAATACATTTCCCAGTGGGTATTAATAAATATAACCACATTAAAATCTAGTTGAAGTTAGCATACTATTTTTATACCAATGCACTTTCAAATTGGTCTTGTGACTGAGATATATGATTGCAATAATAGCTGGCTGTTGTCATGCCAATTCTCTTAAAGGACTGTATTATCAGCAGAGGAATTATTAGACTCAGTAGAGAGTGATTTTATAATAAGGTGTTATTACAAGTAAGTCCAAAATATGCCATTCAGCTAATACTCTACTATATCGTTTGAAAACATTTTGATCAAATAATGGCTCAGATTTAATATTTTTGGATAAACTTATAAAATATAGTAATATATTGAAAAATATTTAAAATATTTTTCCTGAAAAGGAAGCTAATAAAGAGTATTTAAAAAAAAGAATAAAAAGAAAAACATGTTGATATTTTAATATTTAAAATTTTTATATATTGATATATTTTTATATATTTTATTTTTAATATTTTGGAAAATATTATTTTAAAAGTTTATCCTACAATATTAAATCTTTTAAGAAGCCTATCCAAAAATATTAAATCAATGCCAAAATGTTCAATTAAAAATATGCAGAATATGACTAAAGATATACCTTTTTTTAATTCTTTCTTTTATTGTGTAAGTGTTATATTACACGCTTGGTACGCCACTACAGCTGTAACAAGCCAAGTAAAAACAGGGAACATAGATCAGGATCATGGCATACATAGAAAACTGCACATTCTTTTTTTATAGTGGAATTACAGGTTAGGAACAGTAGCCTGTTAATAGTTGGCAAGTAAAACATGACAGTATAGTAAGCATTCTATATTGACTGACAGGGTCAGAATTACTAAACTAGTAACATACAGGCATGTATTAGTCTACATATTCACAAGCAGTGTAGTATCAATACACATTCTCAGACAAATAAACAGAGATATGTAGAAACACCCCGAAAAAAAACATACACATACACAGATATGCTCTTCATTTGTACACACAACAGACATACACAGTCACACCAATGGTTACTCATCTTTCTCTCCTCCCTTCTTGTGTACAGAGAGTAAGTATCCTGATAAATGGCAATAATAATAATAATATCAAATGCTCCCCATGGAGTGCCACCAGTGCCCTCATTAAGGGAGTGCTCACTTTAGTGTGATCCAGTAAGGCAAATATTTCTACCTCCTCAATTGGACTCTTGTGGGATACCAGTATGAGCAGGTCCCTTGCCAATGCCCTGCATCTACCTCAATATGGTGGCCCTGGTTAGTGTGAGGAAGTGTGTGTTTGTGTTGTCAAATAGTTTTTATTGGAAGATTTAAAATGTTACAATAAAATGAACAATCAATATGAAACATGTGTGTATGTGTAAAGTAATCTGTATGTGCAGGTTAACAGTGTATTTGTACATTTACCTTGAGTTTCCAGGAATAGGATAAAATAGCATGTACTGTATATCAAAAGTAACCGCTTTACACACCGCCGTTTAACTAACCTTTGAAGCAAATGTAAAAAATGTTCTTTATAGCTGGGGAGGGAAACACCCTAGAGTTCCTCGAGCTTTACTAATGAGACACCCGGAAAAGGGTGGTTTGGGATTCCCTGACCTTAAGGCATACTACCATGCAACACATATCGCCAACATGCTCCAAATGCACTCCACCACATACACCCCCCAGTGGATCTCCATTGAAGCCAGCTGTGGAGGACAAACAGACCTTGCAGCAGCTATGTGGATGCCTAGGAAACTGTGCAACATTCCCCGAGACACCCTACCCACCACAAAACTACTATACAACATATGGGACAACCACAGGACCGCATTTTGCCCAGCCAGACCGTGGTCGATGGCAACGCCACCAAAAACGATCGCACTCCATAACAACACATTCCCTTACAGAGCATGGCAAGCCCACAACATCACACACCTACACCAAATCTGCACCGAAAAAGGCCCACTCCCGCTCTTAACACTGCAAACCAAATACAATATCCCAACCAAACTAACATTCTCACATTGGCAACTGAAAACACTCTTAGACAGCACTACAGGCAACGAACCACCACCCCGATTTGACCCCATCCTCACACCATTCGAAAAAAATGTGCCTACACCTCACCCCCACCCAAAAAACATTATCAGTGTTTTATAGACACATAAACGCACACAAGCCAGATCCGGAGTGGCAATTTAAAAAGGACTGGCATAGAGATATCAATAGAACCCTCACATATACGCTAACCATAAAGGACTCACGTCGTGCGCCTCGCACCTAGAAGCCTCACATAAGCTACTATATAGGTGGTACATGGTACCTACAAGACTTAAGAAAATCTACCTTAACATGAGTGACAAATGCTGGAGATGCCAGACCCAAACAGGGACCATGTTACACATTTGGTGGACATGAACCCAGGTCCAACCGTACTGGACACAAATAGCAGAGATAATAAGAGGGGCCACAGGATGCATCCTCGAACACAACGCTGAAACATTCTTGCTCAAACTTCTGCCCACCAATATACCCCACAGCATAACTAAACTGATGTTCCTCACACTCACCTCAGCGTCCACCTTACTGGCAAAACACTGGAAAACCCCCCAGATCCCCTCCATGGCGGAGGTGACAGTAATGGTCACTACCACCCTGGACTATGAGGTGATTCTATGGAATCAAACAAAAATAGGCAAAGGGAGTGCTACAGCGAAAAAGATCTGGACCACTTACATAGAAAAGAAGAACCTCCAAGCTGCAGCTAGGGACACTGCCAACACTGATACAACTACATAACAATAGAACCTCGATGGTTCATAGCAGCCACACTAGACACATTAGTTATCCCAGTTATTCTCCCCCTTGTTTTAACCTGCCTCTCCCCTCCTCCTCACATAACTGGACCCGCTCAGGGGTACACACCTGAGGAACAGCCCCAGATAGCCTGAGAAGGCGAACGATAATAAGGAAACACACACCATAGACAATCCGACAGGCCAACCAACGGCAACCAAAACAGCCCGCAAGGGAAAGGTGGTCCAACAACTCATGGCCTTCCTACAACAGAGGTCTTTTCCCCCCCAAGTGGGCATACCACATATATCTCTCGAGAGGGGTTGAGCACATCCTGCACGCCACCATATGAAGACCCACATAAAGGGGCAACAATTAACACTCCTCCTTTCACAGAAGACGTGCAGGGCCGTGTATATAACCCGTTCTACCTACTGTAAAACCCATATGTAAACGAATGGAAGCACAATCAGTACTACACATTGTAAACAAACAGAAATGTTGATTATTGTACAAACGCTGTTAAATGGTATGATCAACTGTAATGACAAACCTAACGGAATTTAAACACACCCCCCTGAACTCCCCTTCCTTTCTGTACCCCTCAGAAACCTTTGTCTTCCGACAAAATAAAAATTGTCAAATTGAAAAAAAAAATGTTCTTTAAAGTTTGGTATAAATGCCTGTATCTATTATTTGCCCATATACAACCCTGTATATGATCTTATCATTCAGTGGGAATTTACAACAGGGATTTCAGACGTTGTGAAACCACTACAAATGTTATAATCATCTAAAATCTAACAATAGTTTGTTCCTGGTTTTACTCTCTGTTATCATCGAAACCCAAAACTGTGAGTATCACATGTAGCAAAAACACTTGCAGGGTTATTAATTAAAGTGAGAATTCAAAGAAAATTTAATTTAAAACATAAGTTCAAAGTAGCCAAATTGAAATAATTTTCTAAGTCATGCTTTCATATTGGCTACTTTGGTCTGACTATACAGTGTGAACACCAAGAAAAATGTTAGCAGTGCCACTGTACAGCTGCAAACAGGAAACATGGACCAAACATTTAAACATTCAGTGTGTGTGTGTGTGTGGGGCTACAACAACAAGAAGAAGTCAGGCTTAAGGTAAGGGGGCAGTGTATTTGACGGAAGGAGGGGGCAGTGTATTAGAGTGGTGGGTGGGGAGGGAAGTGTATTCGTTTTAGAGAGGGAAGAGACAGTGTATTAACTTGGGGAGGGAGGGGTACAGTGCATTAATGTGAGGGAGGGGGCAGTGTATTAATAGGAGGGAGGGGGCAGTGTATTAATGGGAGGGAAGAGGGCAGTGTATTGGAGTGTTGGTGGGGGGGAGCAGTGTATTAATTTAAGAGAGGGAAGGGACAGTGTATTAACTTGGGGAGGGAGAGGGGTAGTATATTAATGGGAGGGAAGGGGCAGTGTATTCATTTTAGGGAGGGAGGGAGCAGTGCATTGGAGTGTTGGTGGGGGGAGCAGTGTATTAGTTAATATATTAAATTGGGGAGGGAGAGGGGCAGTATATTAATGGGAGGGAAGGGGCAGTGTATTAATTTGGGGGAGGGAGGGGCCAGTGTATTAAATTGGGGAAGGGTGGCAGTGTATTAATGGGAGGGAAGGGGCAGTGTATTAATATGAGGGAGGGGGCACTGTATTAATTGGGGAAGTCAGGGGGCCATTGTATTAAATTGGGGAAGGGGGACAGTGTATTAATGGGAGGTAGGGGTCAGTTTATTAATGGGAGGGAAGGGGCAGTGTATTAATATGATGGAGAGGGCACTGTATTAATTTGGGGAAGTCAGGGGGCCAGTGTGTTAAATTGGGGAAGGGGGACAGTGTATTTGAAGGAAGGAGGGGGCAGTGTATTAATGGGAGGAAGGGAGGGGGCCTGTGTATTTATTTATTTGAGGGAGGGAGCCAGTGTATTAGAGCGGTGACGTGCTTCTTTTTAAATTAGGGGTAGGGAGAGAAGTGTATTAAAGTGGAGTGGGGACAGTCTATTCAATTAGAGCGGAGGGACGAGGGGCAGTGTATTAGATTGGGTGAAGGGGGCAGTGTATAACAGTGGAGGGAGGGGGAAAATGTATTGGATTTGTGGGCAGTGTATTAGATTGGGAAGAGGGCCAGTGTGTTAGATTGGGTCTGCATGGAGACACTGAACGCTCCCCGTGGAGATGCTGTTTGGCCGCGCAGCTTTTTGCCACACATTCACAATAGCCTCCCAATGCTTTCCTATGGGAAATCATTGGATTGGCTGAGATCATCAAGTTTGATGATCTCAGCCAAAGTGCTGAATACACCCATAGAACTTTAAAATCAACAAGATAATGTAATTTGTTTTTTTTTTTACAGGTGTGCAACAACATACATTCACCATTTCAGTCCCATTACCAAACATTTCTTAATATGTCAAGGTAGTTGGACTGAATCGTTGGTTATATGCAAATGCAGGTCTCCTTAAAATAACGTGCGTCTCCACGCTCTTTTGTTTACTTTGAAGCCCTACAAGCGTGAGGACGTCCAGTGTCAGTAAGGCAACTTTTTTTATACTGTACTTTTCTAAATAAACCTACGTTTCTATGAAAACTGAAGTTTATTTTTTTTGCGGCCCACATAAACGTAAACCTTGTTTATTTGGCCCGTCTTTGAGTTAAACACGCTTGCACTACACTATATTACCCCTCCATTACATTACACAAACGTCTACACTATACTACCCCTCCATTATATTACACTAACCACTACACTATATTACCCCTCCATTATATAACACTAACCACTATATTATCCCTCCATTATATTACACTAACCACTACACTATATTACCCCTCCATTATATTACACTAACCACTACACTATATTACCCCTCCCTTATATTACACTAACCACTACACTATATTACCCCTCCATTATATTACACTAACCACTACACTATATTACCCTTCCATTATAAAACTACATTAAATTAACCACTACACCATATTACACTATTATATTATGTTAACTATTAACTGCTACACTAGGTCAAAACCCCTTAAGTGACTTACCGGGGTCCAACGCCAATGTCCCTCGGCGCTGGGTCAGGCTCCGCCTACTCTCCTCCCCCGCCGACGTCACCCGGTGGGGTAGAACTAATGCGTATACGCAGCATTATTCAATGCCTTCCCATGGGGATTCTGGCAACGCTGGAGGTCCTCACATAGTGTGAGGACGTCCAGCGTCGTTTAAAACACTTTTCGTGTTCTAAGAATGACAATATGCAATGTCAATCTGCTGTTGCTAAGGCCAGTAAGGTTTTGTCATGCATAAATAGGGGCATAAATTCTCGAGATTAAAATATAATTTTGCCTCTTTATAAATCGCTGGTAAGACCACACCTTGAATATGCTGTGCAAAGTGCAGAGCCGAGCTACAAAATTGCTAAAAGGAATGGAGCATTTTAGTTATGAAGAAAGGTTAAAAAATGTAAATCTCTTTAGTTTGGAAAAACGGCGCCTGAGAGGGGATATGATAACATTATACAAATATATTCGGGGCCAGTACAAACCATTATCTGGAAATCTATTCATAAACAGGGCTATACATAGGACACGAGGTCACACATTTAGGCTTGAAGAAAGGAGATTTCATCTAAGGCAAAGAAAAGGTTTTTTTACAGTAAGAGCAAAAAGGATATGGAATTCTTTGCCTGAAGAGGTGGTTTTGTCAGAGTCTATACAGATGTTTAACCCCTCAAGGACACATGACATGTGTGACATGTCATGATTCCCTTTTATTCCAGAAGTCTGGTCCTTAAGGGGTTAAACGGCAATTGGATTAATACTTGCAAAAACATAACATACAGGGATATAATTTCTAATTAGTGGGGTAATAGCTGCTTGATTCAAGGAGACATCTGACTGCTATTTTGGGGTCAAGAAGGAATTTCTTCCTAGTTTGTTGCAAAATTGGAAGCGCTTCAGACCAGGTTTTTTGCCTTCTTTTGGATCAACAGCAAAAACATATGAGGAAGGCTGAACTTGATGGACGCAAGTCTCTTTTCAGCTATGTAACTATGTAACTATGTAAGAACATTAAAGTCTGGTAGACAGCCACTAGAGGAGGACTTAACCCTGCAAGGTAATTATTGCAGTTTATAAAAACTGCAATAATTAC